GAGCCGTTACACTCTCCGAGAGGCGGGGGGAAAGCCGGGGGAAGATAGCTGGGAGAACGTGGGAGCAGGCGCGGTGGCGAACGGCTTAAAACAGCTGAAGGAATAGGTAACAGAAAGTAAAGTAAATACAGGTGGGGTTTTTTGTTTGTTTGTTTTTGCCTTTTTTTTTTTTTTAACCTCAGGATCGTCTGAAATAATGCAAGTGTGAATGTATACCGCTATCATACTAAATATTTGGCTTTTCAGTATGCCATGGATCACTTTTTAAAAAGAAGAAAAAGAAAATTTTGAAGTGAACTCGACCAAAGTTACTCTCAGCATAGCATTTAACACATATTCCCTTGCCAAGTTGTGTTTCAAGTCTTCCAATCAAGTCATCTATATTCAATTACCTGATAAGGGAGTTCTTCCAGTATGTAAGTCTCTCTCCTGCACTAGATGTACACAGCAGCTGTTATCTACTATAATTGTGGGCTCATGTGGTTCTGTATCTTTTGCACTTGAACATGTAGTTAAATATGTTTCTGTAGTGCAAGGCATGCATCCTTTTGTTTAATATTGCACAGTTTGTGAATTTCTAGCAATATTTATTTTTGCTGTTCACAGTATCCAGTAGAATAAGCAAAGACTTTTCAGCGGTTCATACAGCCTTTTGTTACATAAGAAATAAAAAAAATTAGCTATAGTACGTCATTTACTGTTTCTTTACGTGTTGAGCTGGTTCTTTGGTTGCCTATAATACCAGGTGAAAATTGAGAGCTTGTCCTGGTGCGAAAATGAATCAGAATTAACTGAAGGTTCTTAGGATTTTTTTTCTTTCCCTCCCTTCCTTTTTTCCTCCTCTGTCTCTCCCTCTCGAGTCCACACAAGCCTGCAGTGCATTTTACCTGATCTGCATTAAAAATTTGAATTTATCTTTCTGCATAAACTTCTTTCTAAAGAAGTTTAGCATATTACAGTAAGAACTGCAGGGCCACACTCCAAAATTACAAACTAATTCCTCGCTCTGCAGTATCATAGCCACAATGGTTCCCAAACCTAGTCTGTGTTTTCCTATTTCAGTTTTAAGTTTACCGCAGTGAATTAAGTTTCTCCCAAATTTTTTCTCTGCAAATGCCAGAAATACCCAGATTAAGCCCAGTGAAATCCTAGTCCATCTCAGACAGAAACCTCTTTCACTTACAACAGAGACCCAGAGCACTCAGGAGGCCTCTGAGATCTTCTCACCTCTCCTTGAAGCTATGCTACTGTACAGCAAGGAATGCAAGGTTTTTTTTTTTTTTTAAAGAGAAGGAAAGGGTTAGCAAGCAAGAGCTGAGCTCTGTAAGTTGGTTTTGAGAAAAATGGCAAGCATTGGGGTCTCTGCTGTCTGACTCACGGGTTGTTTCCGTACTGGATGTAGTTGAAACAATAAATACATAAATAAAACATGTATAAGCACACACATACACACACACACACACACACTTACATGTATATACACACATATATATTCACACATTTATATATACGTGTGGAGGAAGAGCCATGCAATGGTGTGGCAACTCCCTGTTACATGATGTGGAGCACTTTTGTTTTATTTTAGGCACAGCCTAATTATGGGGGTGGGACAGGTCTATATGCCTAGGTTTATCATTCACTGTAAGATGCAGAAGCAGAACCAGGACATGCCGCTCCCTGGGCAGTTCCCCAGCCTGACTTAACGCAGTTTCAGGTGACCACTCCTGAGTTCCCCATGAATCTTTCCTGTTGTGAAAAAATACTTGGAACTGCACCCAAAGCCATGTTCCTGCCTTCCCCTGTCCCCAGGTGCTTGATTCTGCCCTCATGCTAAAGCTCAGTCCTCTCTGCTTATCCCAGTTATAATGACAGTGGCAGCAGAAGGGCAGGAACTTGAAAATGTGATGTGAGCACTGAAGTCTGACTGCCCCTTGCTTTCTGCCAGAGCCACAGTTTCAGTGCGGGAAATGTAGGAGAAAGCAGCACTTTCTAGATCCCTGTGATTTAAGCACTCACATAGGAGGCTGTTGTCCCAGCTCCTTCAGCCCCCTCCCCCCCCCAGCCAATTCCCATACGATGGAGAACCAAAATTAGTTTGGTCTTTTTGTCACTGCTTTTGAAGATTTTTTCCATATAGCTCAATGTTTCAAGTGTCAGCAGTCTTAATGCATAATGCAACGTGTTTCAGCAAAAGCCAGTCAGAATCAATGGGTTCTTTCATGAGTTTAACATTGATACTCTCTTTTCTAAAAGCATTTGGGTTTTCTTTTTGGCAGTTAGTTACAGAATATAGCTAGAAGGGACATAAGCAAAGAGTCCATCTGTATGGCTACATGGAATGTACACGACACAGGTCATTTATAAAAACAGGGAAGCAACTCTTAAATATTTGCAGTCCACCGCTATATTGATAATGGCAAACTAGTATTTTGTTCTCTTAGTCAGTTTGTAACAAGTCTTGCATGTGAGCTGATTCTCTGCAGCATTTAAGATGATGCTTGGTGCATCTGGGCCAAGGGAATATGAAGTACAAAAGCTCGTCGGTGTACCAAATATTATCACCGTGGCTCAAGAAACTGCCGGGAAAAAATCCTATCTCGTGTAACTCAGAGAATGTATTGACTCAAGTGCAAGGTTATTGTAGAAAATCATTGCTCTGTTGGAGGAAGAAATGATTGACAGAAGAAAATAATGCTCAAGGTTAAACTGAGTGCAATATCTTTCCAGAGGAGGTCACTTTCTCAGTTAAGGGGACAAAAGTTTTCAGTATAAACTAAAAAAGTTGTTAAAAATATAACAACATTTCTTTTCAAAGACTGGTGAAAGATTACTGGTATTTCTCCAGGAGCAATCTTTGGTCTTTATTCCTGTTCCAGCTTATTTTAAGCCCTAGCATATTGTTACCCTATTCTTGCAGTAAGGAATATTTTTCTGCTTAGCTTGTGATTATTGCATCTTTATTAGTATATATCTTCAAATGAGTATTCATTTTTATTCATATTCATTCACCATTGGTGCCCCTTCTGCTATTTACCAGTGTTGAAAAACACTGTCGCTGTGTGTGCTACTTGGATACTGCGGGGTTTTCCAGGATCCTCTCCATTAGCAGTGACGTTGCTCCCTTTAAAATATCACTTTTTTCAGCACAGAGGATTTAAAGGATTGTCTTACAATTTTGTTTGTGCTGTGGCACCTCTGCTGCTATGCTAGTGTTGGGAGTTTTTTGTCGACACAGCTGCACAACATCCCAAATGACACCAGCTAAGCAAGTCTTCACCAAGGGGGATTTGTTGCAGTAGCTGTGTCATACTCCTAGTTAAAAGAGCTTACCAGTCAAATGTATAGTTTAGACTAAGGTCCCAAGAAAATGATTTCCATATCTGTACAGAGTATCAAGGAAATCAGTGTTTAGCAAAACATTATCAAACAGGTTACACATGGAGAGTGAAAGGGAAGTTTTGTGTACTGCTTTCAAAAAAAGAGAGGAAAAGTGCAGATACGGGGTTGCTGAGACAGAAGCAGAAAGAGTCTGACTGATTCATTTGGTTATATATCTTTTGCCACTGCTGTTGACAGTGCTAAACTCTTACTCTTGAAATTTTGTTGAAAGATGCTAATTCATTCCATCTGCAGAATTGTTCTACAGACAACTTCAGAATTAGGGCTGGTGAGCAGGGCCTCTTTCAGACACAGTGTAAAACTCAGCTAAGCCCCTCAGTGTAATAGAGACAGCTAATAGAAGGGATGCCCACGGCAGAATAACAGGATGGAGCTGGCTCGTTTCTTGGATTGCCCAGCATGGGTCTGGAATATGGTTTTTGCAAGCCTGTGTGCTGAGGCAGAAATCTGGGAGAAATCCAACAGAAAGCTACTCTCTGCCTGACCTTGAGAAACAGGCAGAAGCCAGGCAAGGAGCTCACTGGAGCTGTAAACCTGAGGAATCCTGACCACTGAACCTACTATCGGTTTGCATTGTGTTCAGAGCGTATAGGACTTTGTGTACAATTTTTTTTTTTTCTTGGTAAGCAAATAAGATTCTATCTGATATTTTAAATTTCTGCCACTCACTAAACATTTGCCAACTGCTTGGGCAACTCTCTTTTTTCCGTACGATCTTGGAGTTTGTGCTTAGTGTAGCCTGTTTAAGCCCACTGGCTTCTAAAATGAACTAAGGGAACATTGACATGCGTGGCTGTTCAGATGATCTGAGCTAAACAAGCAAAAAATCTTTGTCCCAAAGCATCACTGAATTTTTAGGTGTCTGAAGCACTTTCTTATTATTATTGTACATTTTGACTAAGAAAATAATTCAGCAGAGAGCGATTCCCGAATAGCAGAGACACCTCTGCTTTTGCATCTGATCTCAGTAGCTGTTGAGAGAAGTGTATTACATTCAGTAACATGTAAAAGATAGCATCAGTATTGCCATTCTAAGATACTCAGAAATTCAAACCGCAAAAATCATGTTAAAAAGGTTCATCTTAGGTTCTCTCCTTCTTCCTCTCTTAGGCTTCATGGTTTCAGGATTATAAACACAACCATGTTATTAAACGTAGTCTGCCTGAGATGCTTATATAATCACAAGACTCCAGAAGCTGAATCTTTAAGGGCAAGAAACATTAAATATAATGAAACTTATGATAAAATAGTGAGATTTGGCATTAGCATAACTTAGTAGATACATAGACGAGTTGGAAATTGGCCAGGGATTGCAGGAGATGATAACATTGTTTTCTTTTGCAAAGAAGCACTCTAAAGTTTTTAATGTCCCCATTTGATCAAGAACATGCCAGCGCTGAATGGTGTTCAAACACCTAGACAATAGTTATTTTCTGTTAATAAGGTTTTTACAAAATATCCCAACCATATTGCCCTGGTAGCTAGCCGGAGGGTAGAGGCACTTGGCACTGCAAATTGTTTTCTGTGATCCCTTCCAAGAAAACTGCAGGAGGCATGTTTTTCTTCCAAACAGAAGGAAGAACATTTAAGTCATCAGTTATTTCCAAAGTATTTTGAGTTTTATACTATTTCTTCTACTGCTCTAAAGTCCTCCTGATAGTGATGGGACCAGCCCCAAATCCCAGGTGAAACTGCTTTAGGGAAAGTTTCTGTTTGTCCTTGGTCTGTGGTTGACCTTGGTCTGTGGTTTATGACTGACAAGCACAGCAGCGTTTCATCCACTGCATCCTGCTTGGTAGCAGCATTACTTTGTCCATATTATGAATAAACATTACTATTTTTATTTTCAATAGAAAATGGCTTAAAATACAGTACTTCATTTTTTTCCTGTGCTCAGCTACTGCTGATATTTGAAGCAGCTTCTGGCTGAGCCTATCAGATATGAAATTGTGTCCTTTGGTCTGTATGTTCTTCTCCTTTTACTAACTGACAGTAGTTGCTGCCCTCACTATAGAATTAACTTTCTTGTTCTTGTAATAAGAACAGTGAAAAGCAGGTTAGTTCAGCAGCGTTAGCTGGTCACAACTGCTAACTTTCATTAGATGATACACCATAGAGGGATATAAAATTCTCTAAGAAATCCTCATTTTTCTCTTCCACTGCCTCCTATATATTTTTACGTAAACAGGAAGAAATACAGCAAGCCTGTGAATTGGGTCCATCTGAAAAAGAGGTTGAGAGGGACTGTAGCACGTTAAAATGTGACTTTTCACTGTGAAGTGATTTCTTCCAAATATTTTCTTTCTCTTAGGGCTCTTCTTTTCATGCTTCAAAACGTTTTTTGTAAACTCTTCTTTCTGAGCTATTTTTGACTTGTATTCGTTCCCTTCTTTTATTTTACATATCCAGGTGCATGCACACTGTGTTAAAAAAAAAGGCTGCAAATACTCCAAGATTAGTAAATACAAAGTCTTAAAGTCTTAGTTTTGGCAATTTAGTTTTAGCGTCCCTCTTCCTACATGTTATTACTGTCCTTCTTTTCTTTCCCCCAAATCCTGCGCTTATTCATGGACTAGGTGGCACTCATATGAAAAAAAGCTATTCGGCATTGTGTTATATTCTGTTGTCGTCGACCAGGCTGTAATCACAGTGATCAGACCCTTCCCTGAAGACAGTGTTGTTACTGATGTGCATCCACAGCACTGCCAACTGCTCCATCCCAGGGGCCACCATCCCCCCTTCTTAGCAGGCCACAGCCCACATCCTCATCACAAGACTATTCTTTCCTCCCTCAAACTTCCTCAGAAAACTTGTCTGGGGATGCAGCACCCTCACGTCAGCACCAAGTGCCAGGCCTGGCAGGACCATGTGGTACCAGCTTAGGTTGGCTCTATTCATGTGGAATAACATGCCAAGAGTTTTAGAGGCTTTTCTAAAGAGAAGAAATTAGGTAGCAGTGCAGCCCTACAGAGTATAACAGACTCAAAAACATAATAGTGTGTCACTGATGAAGACATTGTCCTGCTTCTCTACCCCAGATCAGTTCCTGTGCTCTGATGCTGTCCCTGTACCTCCAGTGTCTTTCCCAAAGCTCACATTTTGTCATGTAAAACTTATTAAGTCTTTACTCCTGTGGTTTCTTATCTCAACATTCTTGCTTAACTAGTCCTAGCTTTCCTGTCTCTCCCTTTCTCCGCTCTGACCCATTCTTCACTCCCATTCTTAGTCTTGTTTCTCTTGCCTAGTTCTCCCCCCAGCTGTATGTACCTCTCCAGATCTTCATCTTCTGTCTCTTGCCCTGGCTTTCTAAACTTATGCTCCTTGTCCCTAAATGCCCTAATCCCAATGTTCCTGCTACTCAACACTATTTCCAATCCAGATTTCCCTTCCTTGCCTATCCCACTCAGCACTGTCCCTTTTCCTTGCATTTTCCACCACCTTCTGCTCCAAGTGTAATCCCTCCAAACTCCCAGCTCTCCTCTGCAAACCACTTCCACTTTTCAGTCTGTATCAGGTAGCCATTGTCTCTATTTTCTGTGTCTCTGAAAGCACAGGAGAGTGATTTAGATGTCCGCCAGTACATAAACATTATATGCTGCTTTCCTTACGCTCTGTATAATGCAGGGAGCATGTGAGGCACCTCTACATGTTACTTTCTCTCCCTCCTACGATATGGCTAAGCTAGGCTAGAGGAAGCAGTAAGAAGAGTTTATTGCAAGCCCAGCCATCTTCAGACACAGGCACTTCCACCAAGGCTGAAGGAAATGTGCTCTTTACTTGGGATATATAGCCTTAAACCCCTTCCCAGAACAAGGAAAGTCTATCTGTTCCTTTTTAAAGTATGAAATCAGAGAAGGCAGCCTTTCCAGCTCACAGTTAAGTATGTTATGATAAATCAGGTGCAAACTGCAGTATGGCTGGGAACCAGGTCATGTTTCCCTAGGCAGCTGCCTTATCCTCTGGGTTGTGGATAACAGCTAAGTTAATGTGGTAGCTTGCTACCATCAAAAGGGAGAGATCGTGCTCCCTCTTTCTGCCCCCCCTGCTACCCGGTCCTCCCCTCTCTTACTAGCGCTGGCTCTGTTATTTTTTGGAGCCCGTTCAGTGTGCTAAACCAGCAGACCTCTGTTCAGGTTTGCTTTTCATGGGTTAGTTTTCTTCAGGACTAGTAATCTGTGATGGCTCAGATAGGTGGTTTGTGAGAACTGGGGCCAAGGAAGAAAGAGGGGGAGAGCATGGCCAAAAGTTTGAATGGGGTGAAACTGTTAATACAGGACTTTCCCTTTTTTGCTGGAGGAGGCTATTATATCCTCCCCACCTTGAAGAATAGCAGGCTGTAGGCTGCAGTCAATATTCAATTTTTCTATACCAACTGGACCAGTACCAAAAGGAGAGCAAATCACTTCAAAAAAAGGAATGATCTGAATCCACTGAGCCAATCCTGCCTGAGTGCCCCAGTCAGATCACTTCCTCCTTTTATTTCAGTTGAGGCTTTACCGATGCCTGCAGATCAAACAAGTGGTGTCCACCACTGTCTTCATGACGCCTTAGCTATGAATCAGATGCCAGTTAAATTTGGGCAAATTTAGGCGTGCTCCAAAGCAAATTTCTGCCTGCCTAGGGAAGCTCATTAGCAAAACCAACGGCTTGCTGGGCAGCAAGGGGCTGGCAGCAGTGACTGCTTAGCTCTAACCAAAGCTAGCTGCCTTTCCTGTGCCTCAGTCCTGTCACCCCCAGCAGCCTGCAGCAATGCACAACAGCCTGGACGGCAGTCCCACCCTGCAGCATCACTGGTGCGGACAAAATCCTCAGGGACTTTTACCTGCAGTGACACAGGAGGTGCCAACTGCAAATGGGCTTTAATTTTTTTTTTTTCTCCCCCCAAAAATTTTAAATTGCACAAAGTAGGGGCATTTTCCTGGGGAAGTAAAAGGGGAAGCTCCCAGACAATGCTGCCATCTCTTGCCCAATTTGAAGCCCCTGTTTCAAAACGTGGAAACGGGAACACTGCCTAAAGACTACCAGAATTTTTTAGCATGAATGAAACAAACCGTTTTTCCTGTCTGCCTTCTTGGACATGAAGGAATAACACGAGCTGAAATTTTAAGTAGCAGCACTACTCTGCCTGAGGCAGGCCCCGGGCATGGAAAATTTCTGCCCAAATGGTAAAAATGTAGCAGTCATACCCAGCTAAGAACAGGTGATTTCTCTCACCTCAGTTTTGAACATGAGGCTTTGGGAGCCTTCATAACAGGTGGCACATCTCAGCGCTGAGTGGGATTCTGAGGTTATCAGAGTAGAAACATTGCTTGTCTTTCTGACATTATCACATATGACCTTATACTTCTTTTGATTTGCTCTGTTGCCACTTTCTCTGGCTCTGCTTTATATCTGTGCTTTCTAGTTTCACCAATGCCCTGTCTAAGCCTCCTCTGTGAAAAAATCTAGGCCTCTGTTCCTTTGATGTTGGATTATGTTTCTGATTTACAGTTCAGTTTGTTTCCAGAAGAGTGCACTTTTTGTAGTACTTTCCGTACTGCTGCTGAGTAAGAGATCATGACATCTTTAATCTTTTAGCATGAAATCCCACTGCACCAGGCTATGCTTGGATGCCAGTGACTTCAAATGGAGTGTTTACTAACCTGGCAGTACAATACTGCATGGCTGCAGAGTATGGAAATTTGACGGGAGATTTTTGCCTGTTGTGATTGTTTAGCCTTCTGTCCTGCAAATATTCATGCACATATTGAATTCTAATCATAACAGCACTACGGAATCCCATTTATTTCAGAAAGATTAAATTCCAATCTGCTGCTGCTACGCCCTGATCTTGCAAAATACCATAGTACAGAAATGCAGCTCCTGTGTAAATGCATGCATTTCATCCAGGGCTCTTTAATTTTGTGTGGTTACATTTTGTGGGTGACAGAGGGCAACTCTACTGTGCTCTGGCCTGGAATGAGGCCTGACCCGACTCGCTGCAGGGCCCGTTAGCTCTGTCCCAGACACATGCTAATAGGGCTGTACAACTTCTGAGCTAAGGTTGCCTGTCGTTCACCCAAGCAGAGGAACTTCCCCACATTTGTTCATATAGGCAGGCCCCTAAAGTTCCTGCTTGCTCCTCTAAGCTTTGGTATAATTGCTGTTATGCGCTGGCGCATTGGGGATGGCTGCAGCACAGAGGAGCTGATACGTTGCTATCTGCAGCATGCTATGGCCTCTCAATCAGAAATGCTCTGGTGGGTGAAACAGCTCAATTTTGAGCTAGATCACCCAATTTTGAGCCAGCCCAGATAGATACATGTTACCCAGAAAGCTCATCAGCTTCAAAAATGGGAGTTCTGAGGCTGCAGTTCTTGAAGGTGGGGTGAGCAATGTAACAGCTTGCTGCTACCAAGACCGGCACAAAGGTATTTTGCTTCCTCCTCCTCTCTCAAGGTCTGTCACCATGAACATTTGTCTACCCTCCCATTTTGTTTAACAAAAACTGCCTCTTATATGAAACTGTAGTGCTTCTCATTAAAAAAAAAAATCTTCTTGATGTTACGTATCATCTTATTGCACATCTTGCACTGCAGATCTGTAGTACTTTTCCTAAGCATAGGGCAGTGAATTCCTTTCTCAGTTGCGAACAATACCCAGTCTCTGTTGCCGGGTATCTTCCTCTGACGCTAAATCCTGTCTTTCCAGTAAGGGCCACGATGGAAAGATACTGTCACCTGGTAATTATTACTGAAGATGCAATGGCTATAAGTCTAATACGTAGTGGCTGAGTGTTATTGATAGCTGGGAAGGACCTGAGTGGGGTAATTGTTTGTACAGTTACACTTTGTCAACACTGATCTCTTCTCTTCCTTTTGTGTCCAGACTAGCGTTTAGCTATGCAGGAGTAAGTAAACATAAAGACAAACTCTTTGCGGCGTTCTTGTACCTTACAGAAATAGCACAAGCACAGCAATGACAATATGCGGCAGGAGAGGCCACATAGTGGTATATGATTATTTTCACTCAAGTAATTGCTAAGTTAAGAACATCTTCTCAAAAGTGATCATTTAAAAATTTTTTTCATGCTGATTAATATAGATTTTCCTGTCCAGGCAGTGACAGAACATGACATGCAATATAACTTTGCTGTTGATAAGCACTTGTTAATCGGAGACAATAGGATAGGGTGCTTGATGCCTTTTCTCAGTGAAGACAAAACTGGGGTTCATACTTTGAAGTATGAAGCACCCAAAAGTGGGAGCACATTTCCGAAAGGCCTTACCTGGAACTCTTGTTGAGCAAATTTTAGGTACCTGAACAGGAATCCTTGTCCTGTTGCTTCAAATGCAACACTTGCCCTTGCTTTTACTGAAGTCAGCATTTTATCCTTGATCATTTTATATGAAATTTTTATTGTGTGGTCTGGCTTGGCCCTTTCATGAGAAATATTGCTATACCAAAAAAAAAAAAAAAAAGAACAACCCTCCTCCCCCTAATATATCCAGATCAGTGAATCATTACCAAGCCATTAAATATGCCTATAGAAAAGCTTTCCCACAGTAGTAATCTTGTGTGACTTTTTAATTTAGTTTGTGCTTACAGTAAGCCATACTGAAAGGCTTGGAGAGCAAGGAGAGAAACACACGGCAGAGAGAGGTCTTTTTCTGTTTAGCTGAAAAAGTGTATGTATGTGTGTGTGTTGTAAGGTATATAATTCAGTAAAGAAGAAAAACACTCAAATCTCCACTGCTGTCGCCATTGCTACACAATTCCCATCAAACCTATATTCTCAATATTTGAAGCAATCAATCAGTCCCCTCTAGCCATGGAAAGTTCCTACTGCCCAAGGCACAGATTAATTTACTTGTAAGAGCACAGACAGTTGTGCTAGACAAGGCTGAAAGAGAGAAAAAGTAAAACAAAGGCTGACAGGGTTCTTACATGTTGGTTTCATTATGGACACATTCCATCTCCTCTTATTTCATCACAGGTTTCACTCACATGTTCATCTCTAGCTTCCATTTAAACAGCATAGATTTTCATTTAAAAATAAGCTATCACACACAGAGAACTAAACTCTTATATATAAGTAAACAATACAAAACAGAAATATTCAAAGATCTGAGAATGTTATTAACAGTATATTGGAAAATGCTTTTTCACTTCCCAGACTGTCTGAACACCTTTAGGAATATATTATCCAAAATTATCCAAGGATTAGTTTGTGACGAGGACAATTACAGTTATGAAACATATCTATTTCATTACTAATATTAAGATTCTATGCACCAGTGATGTTTATACAGATAGAGAAGCAGTTTCTGTTCTGGAATGCTTATAATCTAATTGGAGTTGAGCGTTTAGCTTCAGAGGAAAAATACCAGATGAGTGTTAAGCACATGGAAGGTACAAGCCATTTTTCTTGGACAACACTGGAATAATTTAAGAGGCATTATGTTAAGAGTACCTGGATCATTCTTATTTAAGGAGAGAGTTTTTTTCTCCCTAAAAGAGAATCTCAGTTGCAAGCTCTTCTTGATCTTGAAACATGAGTTTAAACAGGGATGTTGAACGGTCTGAATGGTTTGGTCAGACCATAGTGATCTCTTCTAGGCTTAAAATCAGTGCATCTCTCTAGGATGTGAAAGGAAGGACAAGACAGGTGGTAGACAGGTGGTAGCACAGGCACGCATGTTACAAATCATCTATGTAACTGATCATTCCAAATATATACTAAAATGTTAGCTAAAGCGAACTTTCCTTCAACTTAACCATCACCAAGTTACCATTTGCCTATCGATTGCACGGCAGTGGCTTAAGGAGGTACTGACAATGGCTGATTGCCGTGCTACAGAAAGGAGAGGGCATGTAGAAAAGCAGCAGAGCAAGCGAAGAGGGGTGACCTAACAAATCAGAAAGACCAAGGGGCAAGAGTGAGACAGAACTATGTATGATCTTGATGATGAGGACAAATTACATTTACTCTCAGAAGTAAAACACTTGTGTTTGTGTCACCTGGTGAGGAAGAAAGCTGCACAGCAAGGGATAAGAATATTCTCTAGAAAGCACAGACTTTATAAAGAGGAATGTGCATTTTCCCATTGCTACACTGAGATCCGACCAAAAGACTGGCTGACTGCCATAGAGAGGTGCTAACATAAGGACTTATTCTTCCCATAACTGAAAATCCAGGTTTGACGCATGCTCTGTTAAGTGTCCAGGCTTCTGCATCTTTCCTCAGCGATCACACTTCACAATCAATACTTCCAAAGGCTATTGACACAGCTGAAGGAATCCTATCTCTGTATATTATAGAAGAGATTTGCATCTCTATACATCATCATTTAGAAGAGGTCAGTCAAGATGACCTGCATTAGCATTCACAGGGAATGAAGCCATATTACAAAAAGGTGTTGAGTATGAGGCCAGAATGGATTTATTACAGAATATCAGTGTGTTGCAGCATCCAAATGAACATTTAGGAAAGGCCAGCAGAGAGAAGCCCCAGAAAATATTGGGCCATGCACAGTTTCTTTCAGACAACCCTTCTGTACAT